ACACGGCCCCCACCTGAGAACCTCATCGAACTGACTGATTCATTCCCCGCGACTTCTGCAGCCGCTGCTGCTTCCCTATCTGCACCTTGAACTTGCATTAAGTTTTAATTAAAGCCGTTTCACTGGCCTTGCCCTTGGCTAAATGCAGCCGCGGGCACAGGGCACATAGATATTTAATCGTCTGCCTCTCCCCGCTGAAGGCACAGGGTGCCCCAGGGTGTACCCGAGCCGTGCCCGCTCACGGCGATCCGCAAGCTCGCTTAAGTGTGCCCACAGGCCCTGAGCGGGAGGCGGTGCAATAACTATTCATTGCCCTGGGTTAAGTGTGCCCAGGGGCACCCGTAAACTCAATGCAGTGATTAGCAATTGCTCCCTGTGAAGGCTGCCCGGGGTCCTGCTCAATGTCCTGGCCCTAAATATAGCCTCCGCGTGGGGCCTTAAAGGGCACCGCGTTTTTGCTGCGCTTGGTGGTGTCTTCCTTCCCTTCTTTAAGCAGAATTGCTTCTCTCCTGCCGAAAGCCCGGCCACCAGGGCTCCTGCCTTCCTCGAGGCTGCAGTGGGCAGACGGGGTGTGGGGCAGAGGGACGGCTTCGGCGTGGCCAGGGGAAATGCCCCGTCCTCTTGGTCTTCTCACCAAACCGTGGACATCCCCCTCTCCTTCCTCTTGGCTCCCCGAGGCCCCATGGCATCCGCACCTCGCCAGCTGCGCCCGGACCCCAGCTGCCCCGTGTTCGGCGAGGGCAGCAGCTGAGGCAACCACATTTCCCTGGGTCTGTTGACACTCGAGTCCCAGAACATAAATGATTTTCTTGTCTTAATGAGCAAACAACCCTGCTGCTCGGCTCTCCCGCGGCCTCCTGCTGGGGTAATTGTCCGCTTAGTGCTCTGGCAGCAATGTTTACTCACTCACCTTGCCTACCGCTTGCCTTACTTACCCAAGGGGGGGGGGGATTCCTCTTTGTTCTGTGGTCCGGCCCTGGCCCCTGGCCACCCCAGGAAGCGCCAGTGGACAGGGAGGGCAGGAGCTACTTTCTGGAGAATTCCGCTGGCAGGTGCTTGGGGACGCACGCAAGCAGGACTGCTGGAATCCTGTGAGTGTGGTGGACAGTGCCAACTCTCTCGGGCCCTTGTCTTGGCAGCCAAAGCTGGAAGCTTCCCCTAGTGCCCTCGAGGCAGAGGCCTGAGGACTTCTGAGGGGCCCCTGAGCCCTTTCAGTGACGGGGAGCTCACTGCTTCGCAAGGCCACCTGTTCCTGCCCAGCTCTTTCCCCAAACTCTTCTGAGGGTTCCCTGCAGCCTCCTCGAAGGTGTCCTCTCTCCGTTTCACTTTCCTTTTCTCTTCTCTTCTCTTTTCTCTTTTCTTTTCTTCCTCACTTGAGGATATTTTTTCCATTTATTTTAGAGAGAGTGGAAGAGAGAGGGAAAGACAGAGAGAAACATTGATGTGAGAGAAACATCAATTGGTTGCCTCCTGCACACGCCCTGACCAGGGCCCGGGCCGGGAGGAGCCTGCAACTGAGGTACGTGCCCTTGACCAGAATCAAACCTGGGGCTCTTCAGTCCGCAGGCCGATGCTCTTTCACTGAGCCAAACTGGCTAGGGCCACATTTCTTTAAAAATTTAAAAAAAAAATTGATTTCAGGGAAGAAGGGAGAGGGAAAGAGAGAGATAGAAACATCAATGATGAGAGAATCATTGGTCGGCTGCCTCCTGCATGTCCCCTACTGGGGATTGAGCCCGAAACCCGGGCATGTGCCCTGGCCAGGAATCGAACCGTGACTTCCTGGTTCATAGGTCATCGCTCAACCACTGAGCCACGCCGGCCGGGCCATTTCACATCCCCCTGAATATTTGAGGGATAAGTCAGCTTTGCCTTCCTTAAGTCTCCTCCTGAACTCCTCCTGCTCGTCCTCCTAGGAGGGGTCTGGGCACCTCGTCCTGCCCCCATCCAACATCCAGGCACCCACTTTATTCAAGGCCCCAAATGCCAATGTCCCATCCAAGCGTGGCCAATGGAACCGAGGCCAGGACTCCCGGTGCGCCTGGCCTGGGTGGCACTGGCAGTCTGGGTGGCTCTGCTGGTGGGTGACAGTGCATTCATTCCTTCAGCCACAGGGCGTGCCTGCTGTGTACCAGCCCTCCTGCAGGGGGGTCTGCTCCCCTAACCTAGGGAGCACGTGTCCAGTCTGCCTTCCTCCCTGAGCGGCCGGCTGTCCTGCCTCCTTGTCCTGCCATCCTCCCCTTGGCCCCTCAGGTGTGCCCTCTCCTTGACCCCCTGGTGACTGTATCTCCTTGGCCAGACTGTCTGAGGGGAGCTGGTGGCTTCTCTGGGAGATGCCAGCCTGATGGGATTGAGCATGGGCACCACCACCACCAGAGCCACTGTCAGAAGCAAGACCATCAGTGGCAGGAGGTCAGTGTGGGCAGCAGCCCTGCCGGGGACCCTCAGGGGGGTCTCGAGGCATAGGCCTTCGGAACTGCTGTTGGGAGCAGCTCCGCGCAGCTTGCCGCCCCTGCGGTGCTGATTCAAATGTCCACCTGCGAGACCGGACAGATTTAGGCAGGCGGCTTCGAAAATTGGGCCCCATTAGCGTCAAGTGCTCCCGCACGGCAGACGAGGGGCTCCTGCAATCACGCACTCGCGTCCTGATCATGGTGGCAGGAGATAATTACGTCTCTTTAAATAGCCCAAAGTTGCCGTGTAAGAGAAGACGGCTCACATGACATTTGCTCCCAGCTCGCTTCCTGCTAAAAATATCCCGGCGAAATAATATTTCCTGGCTGCGTCGGAGCAGCAGCCCCTGCCTGGCCTGGGCTCCCTGACACTTGGCGTCTGGTCCAGGGGCTGGTCCGGAGGTGGGAGGGGGACATCTCCCCAGAGCTGCTGCCGCTCTGCCTGGGCAGCAGTGACAAGTGGCACCGCTTGCCCACCGGTCCGACCCAGGAGCGCCCCTAATGCCCACCCTTCCCAGCTTCATTGCTCTCGGGTCCCCTCTGTGTTCCTCCCTCTCCTGGGCACCTGCCCCCCACGGGCCCACCCACCCACCCCTGCTGTTCTTAACCCCAATCTTGGCCGCGCATTTCTGACTTGCTTGGGACAAAGAGACCTTGGCTGTCCCTGGGGGGCATGCGTGTTTGGGGGTGGGAGGGGTGTGCAGAGTGGATCATCTACTGGAGGCCCCCACCCCGGGGTCTTCGGACTCCTGGGAGGTTCCGAGATGCAGGGGTCTAAGAACAAAGATGGGAGGAGTCTGCATCCCTCTCAGGCTATCAGGGCTGTGAGACCCCCTGACCTAGATCCTGGATGTGTTAACTATTTCCTTCAGCTCGGGGTGCACACCGAGAAAGGCCTGGGATCCGAGAGGCCACTGCCTGCCTCCAGGGACTGTGAATGCCAAGGAGCTCCGTATGCTCCGTTCCGTGGGTCAGAGGCTTCACCCCGTGCGGGTAGATTGGAGATGACTAAGGCTCTACATTGTATAGAATTGTATCATGGACCACATTTCAGGATGGGGGTTCTGGTGAGTTTAGGGCATTGGGGATGGTCTTTTTTTAAAATATATTTTTATTAATTTCAGAGGGGAAGGGAGTGGGAGAGAGAGATGGAAACACCAATGATGAGGAATCATTGATGATTGGCTGTCTCCTACATGCCCCCCACTGGGGATCAAGCCTTGAGCCAGAAACCCAGGCATATGTCCTTGACCAGAATCGAACCCGGGACCCTTCAGTCCACAGGCCGAGGCTCTATCCACTGAGCCAAACCAGCTAGGGCTGGAGATGGTCTTGCTGAGCCCCCAAACATCCTTTCCCTTATTCATGATGCTTGAAACCCCTTTATGTGAAGACAGATGCGTTCATTCAGCAACCGCAGAGCTGCCTTCAATGCAGCACCCCCTCCCTCCCCTGTGAGTGGGCTGACACAGTGAAATTCTCGCTCAAGTGCAAACAACTGCTATGAGCTTTATCCCCTCAGAGCAGCATTGGTCATGGAAGGGCCGGGTCACCAGAGCCGAAGGCAGTCTTGGCAGACATTCCTCCAGCGTCTCAGGGCAGCCCTGCTCCGGGCACCTGCCTCCTCAGGGGCCTTCGCACGTGGCAGGGTCCCCTGGGGGGTTGGGACGGCCTCTCTCTCCTCTTCATCCCTGCAGCCAAATTCCCGTGCGGGCAGCGAGGCCAAACACCAAGTAACCTCGTGTCACCCATTCGGGAAGCGTGCTGCGCTGGCCATGGGCATGGCCCCTGGCGAAGGCACTGCCCCCAGCCTTTCGTCCACATACCTGCCCAGTGTGTACTTCTCCGTGTCACCTGTCCTCTCCCCTCCAGTGTCGTCCCAGCCGGATCCAGAGGTCTCGGCTCAGAACCCCAAGCAGAGACAAATGAGTTTCTGGTCCAAAGAGGCTCCTGCAATCAGGGGCGCCTGAGGCTGAGACCCTCCCGGCTACCAGCCTGGAGCCTTCCCAGTGACGGAGAGCGGGAACTACGAGGCGGTCAGCACCCGGTGGCTGGGCGCTCCGGGCCCAGGTCAGTGTCCTGATTTCAGCATCGGCTGTCCTGCCCCTTCCGGAGGCCCCTCCCTCTCGGGCCATTGACACCACGGAGAGCAGGAGCTGAGGAGAGCAGCTCTGTGGGGCTGGCTGAAATAGGACCTTTGCTACGTATGCCCCTGAGGCCTGGCACTCTTGCCAGGTGGGCCCCGTGGGAGGACAGCCACAGGGCACAGGATGCATCCTGCCACGTGCAGCTCATTCTTTGTTGCCCCGCCAGGCGGTCCAGGGAGCCTCAGGGAAGCTGGCCATAGGGTAGCCCTGAGCCTGGGATGGGCTGAGATGGCCGCCCCATCCTCTGGTCGGCAGAGAGCCCCTGTCAGGTGAGGGTGAGTGAGGGCCCCCCCCCGCCCCAGCCCTCTTTCCCTAGCCCCGTGGCCCTTTCTCTTGTGCCAGGGCTTCCCTTCCTGGGCCCAACAAGGTGCCACACCAGCCGGGGAAGCACTGGGTCAGGCACAGTGACTGGAGGGGGCCTGAGATCTAAGTGGAGGCAGCAAGCATTTGAGATAAAAAGAAAAAAGCATTGCAGTCGGGGCCTAGACGCAGAAGCCAAGTGATGTCCCGGTGACGGGTGGAGGCCGGGGCTTTTATGAGGCAGGGGAGTGATCACAGGGGAGAGGAAGGCATTGCTCTCGGGGCGGATCCGCTAAGCTCTCCAGCCCCCCCTGCTGCTGCTGCGTCTACAGGACTGTCCTCCACGGCCAGTCCTCGAGGCCGGGTCTCCCTCCCTGTGTGCTTTACACACAGCTGTTTGGAGACGGTGTTGGCTGGCCCAGCCCACAGGTCATTTTGCATTTAATATTCCAAAGGGTCAAGGAGCCAAGCGAGGCCTTCCCCGGGGTGGGCGGCCCCGACTCCCTTTGGAGCCGGTTCCTTTATGTGATTTTTCTCAGTGGTGACGTTGCCAACGGGAGGGGCGGGGGCACATCAGCTTGCTCGCTGAAGACCCAGTGAGCAGTCGCTTACCTTCTCGGACCCCAGGCTTTCACCTGTGCGGGGAACATGGGTACCTGTTGGGATGATGGAGGTGATGGCGTCAGGAGCTCATGGAGCTCCAGGCACGAGGTGAGCCCTTGCCATTCGGACCCGCCCGCTATCTGTGTGGGCTTGGATCCTCCGTCACTTACTAGACAGGGTAGGCTCCTGGCAAAGAGGACTGCGCCATGCAACTTACTTTTTTTTTTTCAGAGAGAGGGAAGGACAGAGAGAAACATTGACGTGAGAGAAACACATCGATGGGTTGCCTCCTGCACTCGCCCAACCAGGGCCTCGGCCGGGGAGGAACCTGAACCCGAGCTACGTGCCCTTGATGAGAATCGAACCCGGGACTCTTCGGTCCGCAGGCCGACGCTCTATCCGCTGAGCCACACCGGCCAGGGCTGCAACTTACGTTTTAACCTGAGACGAACCCTCTTCTAAACATGGTGTGTGTCCTCCCGGCAGGGCCGCTGGGATGCGTGAATTAAAAGGGGTTTTCAGTGAAAGCCCGGCTACCAGACAACCTGGTGTTCGCAAAACCACCAGGAGCAAAACCCATTGAAATACAGCATGAGGAAGTACACATAATTCACAAATGATGTCGCTCGCTTTCATCTCCGACTTCCGCACTGTCCTCAATAGAAGACAGACGCGGGGGAGATTTAACTCAGATGTGAAGGGTGCAGGAATGCCCCGTTACCAGGATGTGATGTTTCGGTGCTGCAGAAAAATGTAATTGTATTCAGAACTGTATTTAAAGATTAAAAGGGGGACTGCCTACCACATCTAGCCCCCAATTCACAATTAGAAGCCAAGTAAAAGGCGGTGTGTGTGTGTGTGTGTGTGTGTGTGTGTGTCTGGGGGAGGGGTGGGTTCTAAGCCTGCTAAAAATGGAAGTGTTTTTTTGAAAGTTTTTACACATTTCGGCTGTTTTTATTTGAACAGTTTCCTGCAGTAATGACATTGATTTGGAAAAGGGAGGGCTAGGATTTTATCCGACAGTAATTCACGGAGGCCCCGTGGGCAGCGCAGGAGGGACCGGAGGCCACCAGATTCCTGTTCCCTGCGGGGTCGGTTCTGGAAGGGGACAGAAGAAAGGTCAGGGAGTTAGCATGGAGAGCAGGGGGCCGGGGGGAGGACCCAAGGGGCAGACGACCTTTGAAGAGAGGGTAAATAACACGCAGAAATAGCTCGGCACCAGCAGCAAGGACATCGAAGGGAGACTTTTCGGCCTCTCTGGGAAGATTTAGGGATGTTCTCTTGCTCGTTAATGAATTGAATCTCAGCAGCCAGAGGGAACCTCTCCCCCTGCTTCCAGCACACCTTCCCCGCCCTCCCTGCGGCCCGTGGCCCTTTCTGCTCCCATTGTAGCTACGGGTGCCCGGGCCTGCCTCTCCCTCCAGTCGGCGAACTCCTTGCCAGCAGGGGCTGCGTCTCCTTCAGCCTTTTATTCTTCAGGGTCCTTATCGAACGGCCCTGCCTTTGGTAAGCACTTAATACACGCTGGTTGGACTGAGTGTTCACTAGGAATTCTTTAAAAATGTTTTAGGCAAAGAACACGTCTCTGTGTAAACATGTGACGAGTATGCTGGAATATTAATGCGCCAGGATTGCCTAAGTGCCCGGTGGTTACAGATTTCTTTTCTTTTAATCTTTTCTCCACCTCTCCCTGTTCCTCCCCCTCCCCCAAGTGGTTAGAACCTATAGGAGATATTCTGATTATTTAAGATCAGAGGTGTCAGTCCAATCTGGAGAGGAGAAACCAGGAGGGCGGTGTAGCTACAGCTGTTGAGCATTTTAAAGCAGGACAACCGACAGAAAGGCCTCGAGGGGTCAGGCAGGGAGTGTGAGTGAGGGAGGGTAAGGACACAAAGGCCTGAGTGCAGGAGGGTAGAGGCGGAAAAGCTCAGGGCAGGAGACCCTAGGGGTGGGCAACCTTTTTGTGAGTGCGTGCCAAAACCAGAAAAATCTCTGACTCAAAATTCTTCTGCGTGCCAACCCTAATTTTTTGAGTGGTTGGACTGAGTGTTCACTAGGAATTCTTTAAAAATGTTTTAGGCAAAGAACACGTCTCTGTGTAAACATGTGACGCGTATGCTGGAATATTAATGCGCCAGGATTGCCTAAGTGCCCGGTGGTTACAGATTTCTTTTCTTTTAATCTTTTCTCCACCTCTCCCTGTTCCTCCCCCTCCTCCAAGTGGTTAGAACCTACAGGAGATATTCTGATTATTTAAGATCAGAGGCATCAGGACCAGTGGAGGCAACACAGAGTCAGTCCAGCCCGGAGAGGAGAAACCAGGAGGGCGGTTTAGCTACAGCTGTTGAGCATTTTAAAGCAGGGCAACCGACAGAAAGGCCTCGAGGTGTCAGGCAGGGAGTGTGAGTGAGGGAGGGTAAGGACAAACAGGGCCTGAGTGCAGGAGGGTAGAGGCGGAAAAGCTCAGGGCAGGAGACCCTAGGGGTGGGCAACCTTTTTGTGAGTGCGTGCCAAAACCAGAAAAATCTCTGACTCAAAATTCTTCTGCGTGCCAACCCTAATTTTTTGAGAACGTGTTACGCCTACTCGATATCTCTTAAGGTGTAC